CCAGCAGGACGCCCACTTTCACTTCCACCAGATCCGCCTGCAGAGCTTCCCGGGGCACTCCGGGGCTGTCAAGTGTGTGGCCCCCCTGAGCGGCGAGGACTTCTTCCTGAGCGGCAGCAAGGACCGGACCGTGCGCCTCTGGCCGCTGTACAACTACGGGGACGGCACCTGCGAGACGGCCCCGCGCCTGGTCTACACCCAGCACCGGAAGAGTGTCTTCTTCGTGGGCCAGCTCGAGGCCCCGCAGCACGTGGTGAGCTGTGACGGGGCTGTGCACATCTGGGACCCCTTCACAGGTGAGCGGGCCCAGCTGCGGCCTGTTGTGGGGTTGCTCCTGCGGCCCCCAGGCCTCTGGGAAGCGGGCCCGGGGGTGGGGGTGTTTTGGGGTTGCTCCTGTGGCCGCCAGGCCTCTTGGAAGAGGGCCCCGGGGTTGGGGACGTCATGCCCCGGAGTCTGCCTAGAAGAGCAGTTAGGGCTCAGAATCTCTTCCGCTTGGGTCTGCGTCACTCCACCGGCTTAGCTGCTGAGTGGCCCTGAGCGAGGTCCTGTTGCTGAAGCGTCCGCTGCCGTCTAAACTGAGAGCTCACGGAGGGTTTTGGCTTCATGTGTGGCAGATGGCATTTATTTCGCCAATGGTGGCTTATTTTTTGGCGTCACCATAGGGAGAAATAAGGTTAAAAGGGGGGAAGGGGTAGTGTCGGGGCAGACAGAGGGAGGGGGCACCGGGTCAGCGGTGCTGTGCAGAGAGAGGAGGTTGCTTTGGGGATGGGAGCCTGGCCAGGCCGTGGAGGCAGGAAGGAGGGAGGGTTAAGAAACATGTTTAGGCCAGATGTGGTGGCTCACGCCTGTAATCCCAGCGCTTTGGGAGGCCAGGAGTTCGAGACCTGCCTGGCCAACATGGCGAAACCCTGTCCTTACTAAAAATACAAAAAAATTAGTGGGGCCTGGAGGCGAGTGCCTGTAGTCCCAGCTACTTGGGAGGCTAAGGCAGGAGTATCGCTTGAACCTGGGAGGTGGAGGTTGCAGTGAGCCGAGGTTGCACCACTGCACTCCAGTGTGGGCGACAGAGCAAGACTCCATCTTCAGCATTTCTTAAGGCTCCCTGGGGGCTGGGAGGCAGGTATGGGGTGAGCTGGGGGGTTAGAAGCAGCGGGAGCTCTCCCAGCAGCTGCTGGCCCCAGATCCACTGGCCTCTCCTCCCCAGGGAAGACCCTTCGCGCAGTGGAGCTGCAGGACAGCCGGGTGCCCCTGACGGCGGTGGCTGTCATGCCCGCCCCCCACACCAGCATCACCATGGCCAGTTCCGACTCCACCCTGCGCTTTGTGGACTGCAGGAAGCCTGGCCTGCAGGTCAGGGGGCATCCAGCGCCCTGAGCACTCCCCTGGTTCTCTGGGGACCTGGCAGGGAGGAGAGACTCCCCAAAAACGGAAAGCCAGGATGTTGTTGGGGCATTAGTTACTTTCTCTTTGGTGCCAGCTCACCCGCAGCGGCACCCCCTGGGGGGCAAGACCCTGGCCTGTGAGGGGGGTGGGGTTCTGGGCTTGTCCTGCCCCTCCATGAGGGTCCCAGCTCAGGCCTTCCTGCCGTGTGGGCTGCGGTGGTGAGCAGGGCCTCGGGGAGTCGGGGTCGGAAGGTCGGGTGTCAGCTCAGCCGTCCTCTTTGCAGCACGAGTTCCGCCTGGGCGGTGGGCTGAACGCTGGGCTTGTCCGCTCCCTGGCAGTCAGCCCCAGTGGCCGGAGCGTTGTGGCCGGCTTCTCCTCGGGCTTCATGGTGCTCCTGGACACCCGCACAGGCCTGGTTCTGCGAGGCTGGCCAGCCCACGAGGGGGACATTCTGCAGATCAAGGTGATGGGCCGGGTCCTCTTCCCTTACCGCCCAGCCCCCGTCCCTGTCCCATCATCACCCCTGCTTGGGGCCTGCTTGCCTGGGGTCAGGCTCCAGCCGGTGTGTCTTATATACCTGGTGGAAGACGATGGGCAGGAGGGAGGAGCAGGTCTCGAAGCTGGGGCCTCGGCAGGCAGCAGGCCGTGGGGGCGGGAGCCATGGGGGCTGAGCTGACCCTGCCAGATGTTCTAATGAATAACCCTTGTCCATATTTGTCTTGTTAGGAGGATCAGGGGTCAGGCCCCGTCCGTGACCCAGTTCAGGTTAAATAAGCTCAGCTGGGAGGCTGTTTACTGCCCGCAGACCACTGAGCAGAGTCCACGGCCTGCTGGGCCGCCTTGGAGAGGGCAGGGGCACACCTGGGCATGGGGATCCTGCCCCGCCGCCTCCTCCCCTCCCTTGCCCCCCACCCCGTTCTCAATCACAGGCCTCAGGGAGCTGCTCAGGGACGCCCAGGAGGGGAGGAACAGGGAGGATTTCTGCAGGCAGCTGGGGCTTTCCTTCCAGCATGGCTGGAGGCCAGGTGACATGTGTGGCCCCGCTGAGAGCAGGCTGTGGCTGGCTGCCTCCTGGGGCCCAGGAGCCTCGAGTTCCAGGGACCTCTAAATTCTAACTTTCCAAGAGCGTGTCAGAAGGCTCGGGTCAGCCTGGGTGTTAATCCCGGCTCTGCTGCTTCCTGGCCCCGTGACCGTGGTGTGGTTACGTCACGTCTCTGAGCCTCAGTTTTCCTCTCTGTAAAATGGGGACAATGGCCACACCCACCGCATAGGGTTGCTATGAAGGTCACGTGTGGTCACGTGCTCGCTCAGCACAATGCTTGTACGTAGCTCTCAAGCTAGTGTGACCACTGGGGTTACTGATGCTGAGTGTATTCAAATGAACCAGGCTGAATATGGCATGGGAGGGTGGCAGCCTGTCACCCACCCAGGACGGCCTGTCTTCCTGGAGAGACTGCAGAGGGAAATGAAGGCCTCGGGGCTCCGGGGTGTGCAGAAGGACCCGGGCCTGGGCTGAGGCTCCCCTTTCCTGGGACAGGCGGTGGAGGGCAGCGTCCTGGTCAGCTCCTCCTCTGACCATTCCTTGACCGTCTGGAAGGAGCTGGAGCAGAAGCCCACGCATCACTACAAGTCGGCGTCCGACCCCATCCACACCTTTGACCTGTACGGCAGCGAGGTGATCACTGGCACCGTGTCCAACAAGATCGGCGTCTGCTCCCTGCTGGAGCCGCCCTCCCAGGCCACCACCAAGCTCAGCTCCGAGAACTTCCGCGGCACGCTCACCAGCCTGGCCTTGCTGCCCACCAAACGCCACCTTCTGCTGGGCTCCGACAACGGGGTTATCCGTCTCCTGGCATAGGCTGGGGCCAGAGCTGGCCAGGCAAGGGTGGGGAAGGCATCCCCCGGGGGGCGAACCCTTGCCCTGTTCCCCAGCAGCAGCTCCCTCCAGGGAGGCCCTGGGCCCCACACCCTTGGTGCCCACATGGCCTGCCAACCAGGGCCCCCAAATGGGGTTGGGGAGTCCTGGCCCCTGAATCGCCAGAGCCAGCAAGGATGCCAGAGGGGTCTCATTCATGGCCTGGGGCACACTGCTCCTAGCAAGCGGGCAGTAAGAGCAGGAGGAAGGACAGCCACCTTCACTTCTCCCCAGCTCTGCCCTCTGGTCCATGTGAGGACAAGGAAACTCGGCCCTGCCCGGCCAGTCTCTAGCCCCTCAGCCCCTGCTGGGCGCTCTCTGCCCCGTCCCTCCAGGACGGCTCTCTGCCAGCCGCCCCAGTCCAGGGTGCTGTTGGTGCTTGGATTCCAGCCTGAGGAGGCTGGCCACAGTCCAGGAGCTAAGCACCTTGGTCTGCGGTTCAAGTGTCCACCCATCCAGGGCCTGGCCAGGGTGGGACCAGGAGGGGAAGGAGGAAAGAGAAGGTGCCCTCTGCCAGCGGCCCTTGGCCTCCAGGAGTGAGCCCATGCCTTGCCTCCCACCCCTAACCACAGTGTTTGTGCCTTGACCTGAGGAGGCAGCCTCTGGGCCCTGAACCCCTGCTGGGCTCTGTGACCCTGAGGGGAGGGGTGAGAAGAGCCATCTCTGCACCTCGGGTCTCTGCACCTCAGCCTCACATTCAAGAACAGAGCTGAGGCCTGGGGTGGCGCCTGCTGCCTCCTCACAATTTGCAATAGATGTAAATATGACCAATAAATCCTTTGGAAGGGCCATGGGATGAACTGAGGCTTGTCTCGTGTGTTTTCCAAGAGATGCAGCCTCACCGTGTACGTGGCCCAAGCCGGCCTCCAACTCCTGGGCTCAAGCGACCCTCCTGCCTTGGCCTCCCAAAGTGCTGGGATTACAGGTGTGAGCCACCATGCCCAGCCTGAGGCTGATCTCGATGGTGGGGTCAGGGTGGGGCAAGGGGAGACCTGGCGGTGTCCAGGGCAGTGAAGAGCCACCCATGGGGGTGGGAGGCAGCCTGAACGGCATAGGCTGCGAGCCTTCTGGTTCACAAAGCCCACCCAGGCGCGTTTCCAGGATCCTCACTGTGGGGTAGGGGAAAGAGACACTGCTCTGGGGAGGCAGGACACTGAGAGAGGTGACCCCTCCCATTTCTCCTCCCTCACCCCTGCCTTCCAGGCTTGGTCTGAAGGCAGCCAACTTGGATCTGGGCTTGTAAGGTGGGGGAGGGCGCCCCGTCCTGGGTCTGTAAGGCGGGGGTGGGCGCCCCGTCCCGGGTCTGTAAGGTGGGGGTGGGTGCCCCGTCCCGGGTCTGTAAGGTGGGGGTGGGCGCCCCGTCCCAGGTTAGTAAGGTGAGATGGGCGCCCTAATCCCAGGTTTGTAAGGGTGGGGGGTGGGTGTCCTATCCTGGGCTTGTAAGGTGCGTGTCCCATTCCCGGGCTCTCTGCATAGACTCCTGTGGCTTCCCTGGTCCCTCTGTGGGAGCAGGAGGCAGCTCTTGGGAGGGGAAAGGACACTCAACATGAGGATCTGGATGTGACTCAGCGCCGCTCTGTGTCCTTGGCCAGATCACATGGCCTCTCTGAGCCTGAGTGAAGCAGGGATGATCCACGCCTCGTGGGGTCTCTGGAAGGCTCAGCACACTGCCGGGTTCCTGTGCCTTCCGGATCTGCCCCCTCGGCCACCCAGGTCCAGCCTCTTCATCTCTCTCCTCCTGAACCTCCTTCCAGGCTCACATGGGACCCAAATCCATGGGGTCCTGCGTGGCTGCCTCAGGGTCACACACCTGGGGGGAAAGGGGCTTCTGGCTTCAAGATCAATGTTTAACCGGATGTGCCAGTCAATGTTTACCAGAAGAGAACGCACTCTCTACGGGGTTGGCTGAGAGTAAAGGTCCCGGTGGGCGGAGGGGTGGGCCGGGCCGGCTGGAGCCCGTGCAGAGGGCGAGGAGCACCCAAGTGGGGCCAGAGGAACTTCGAGTGCGGCAGCAAGGAGCCCGCAGAGGTACGGGGGAGGTGGGTGGCTTGGCCTGCTCCCCGGGTGGCAGAGGAGGCAGGGAGCCGCCTTCTCCTCTGAGGGGTCTGGGCTGGATTGATTCAGGAGGCCTGTCACTCCCCAGCCTCCTCTGGCAGTGCGGAGCCAAGGCGGGGGCTCCGGGAGGAGTACCTCTGGGACCTGAAACACTGGAGCCTGTTCTCGGCAAGAAGATTCAAACGCCCAGGTCCGAGACGGGGCCTGGTCAGAGTGCTTGTGTGCGATGAGGGTGGGGCCAGGGGCCACAGAAGGACCCTCAGAAGGATTGGCCCCAAGATGGGGTGGGGGGGTGGCTGCAACACCTGCTCTGGCTTATCCTCCTGAGACCCCACCCCTGCCCTTCCCAGAGCCAGCCTGGTCAGGGTCAGGGTCAGCACAGGCGGCTCTGGCCGGAATCATTCATTGGGCTCTGCTGCTGGGTCAGAAGGCAGCTCTCCGGCCGCCTGGACAGCCCTGCTGAGACCTCAGGGCCTCACAGGTATGTCCAGCCTCGTGGGTGAGACCTGAATGGCCTGAGAAGACTGGCTCAGAGGACACAGCAGGGTGGGCAGGAGCTCTGGGGTGGAGGCTTTAGGGCAGGCTTCCCGGAAGAGGCGGCCTTGAGCCAAGCCAAATCTAGCCACTGGCGGGTGCCAAGCCTTGTACTCACAGTTTACAGAGACAGCCTTGTTTTATCTTCATTTTTTGAGACAGAGTCTCACTCTGTTGCCCAGGCTGGAGTGCAGTGGCACGACCTTGGCTCACTGCAACCTACACCTCCCGAGTTCAAGCGATTCTCCTGCCTCAGCCTCCCGAGTAGCTGGGATTACAGGCTTATGCCACCACGCCCAGCTAATTTTTGTATTTTTAGTAGAGACAGGGTTTCTCCATGTCGGCCAGGCTGGTCTCGAACTCCTGACCTCAGGTGATCCATCCGCCTCAGCCTCCCAAAGTGGTGGGATGACAGGCGTGAACCACCGCGCCCGGCCACACAGACGGCCTTATTTTGGTCCTCACCGAGCATGTGAGAGGACTGAGGGACTCAGGCCACCATTTTAAAGGTAACACCAAGCCTGGCGGGGTTACGGGGAGTGCCAAGGTCCTTTGCAAGGGGTAGTCTGGATTGAGACGCAGGTCTGCTGCACAGTGTGGGGCCTAGAAGGAGGGGAATATTTGTGTTTTGCTATTTCCCTCCTATTAACCAAAACACCTTCAGTGCACGAAATGTGAAAGACCAGAAACTTAAAAGGGGGAAGGAACTGGGGAGGGCTGTCCCGCCCCACAGGAGGGGGAGCCGCTGCGCGTGTGTTGTTCTGACTCTGGAACCTGCTTCTTCCCTTTGGCGCTCGTGACTCGGGGCTTGGCCGTGTCTGTGAGTGTGTGGGTAGGAGTCCCTGGTGGGCGTGGGGACGGGAGATGGGAACAGACCTTCTGTCCCCGCCACAGGAACATGGCGCTGCTCTGGGGGCTCCTGCTGCTCAGCTCCTGCTCTGTGGTGAGGCTGGGCTGACGTCCAGGTGGGGTGGGCAGAGGGGGAGAAGAGGGGCGGTGGTGTGGAGGGAGGGCTTGGCTCCCAGGGGGCCCTCCTAGCCTCACCCCTTTCTCCACAGTTCTCCCCTGTGAGCGCCATGGAGCCCGTGGACCAGCAGGTACTGGGGAGTGAGGAGCCCGTGTCGGGGGACGGCCCCGGGGTCTCACCGGTGGGCTGGGCAGGGTGCGGCCCTGTGGGGAGGGTTGCGCTCCAGCTGCTTCCTCCGTTCTGCAGCTAACTATAGGGCCGACCCAGGAGAGGGTGCTCCCGCTTACCTTCCTCAAGCTGGACAACCAGGTACGACCAGGTGGGGCTGGAGAAGAGTGGGCGGGGCCAGAGGGAGGTGGCCGCAGCAGCAGGGCCGGGGGCTGCGGGGCGAGGCCAAGGCTCTGGAATCTGGAAGCTAGGAGTGTCAGAGGGCGGGGAGGACCAAAGGCGGGGTCCAGGCCCCAGAATGCCAGTGCCCTCCGTCGGACGCCCCCTCTCCCCTCGGGCTGGGACCAGGCCCTGCTGTCCTCAGGACCTGCAACACAGAACCCGGAGCTGACCCCTTGACCTCCCTGCCTCCTGATCTGCCCCCGCAGGAACCTGGTGTCCGGACTGCACCGAAGAGTCCAGCAAGAGACTGCAGCGGAGACCCCACCCCACAGCAGACCCGCAGGCTGGCCCGGGCCATGACGGCCTTCACTGCCAAGCTGTTCTCCCTGGTGGCTGAAACCTCCACCAGCCCCAACCTCATCCTGTCACCCCTCAGTGTGGCCCTGGCACTGTCTCACCTGGCACTAGGTACCCTGGCACCACTTGTCCAGACCAAGAGAGATGGGAGGCTAGTAGGAACATGGTACTCCAGGGGTTCTCCAAGGGTGCCTCCTCTACCAGGTCACCTGGCTGCTGGGTTAAAAACTGCAGATTCCCAGGCCCCCACCTGTCGGTCTGTGTGCGTCAGATCTCAGGGACTGGGCAGGGGAATCTGCTTGTTTACAAGTCTTTCAGGTGATTTGTTAGTTTGTCTGGGCAGAGTCTTGCCCTGTTGCCCAGGCTGGAGTGCAATGGCATGATCTCAGCTCACTACAACCTCTGCCTCCCGGGTTCAAATGATTCTCCTGCCTCAGCCTCCCAAGTGGCTGGGATTACAGGCACCCACCACCACGCCTGGCTAATTTTTGTATTTTTAGTAGAGACGGGGTTTCACCCTGTTGGCCAGGCTGGTGTCGAACTCCTGACCTCAGGGGATCCACCTGCCTTGGCTTCCTGGAGTTCTGGGATTATAGGCATGAGCCACTGCGCCTGGCCTCTCCTGGTGATTTTTACATGAGAGTTTGATAGCTGCACTCTCTCCCATTGTGCTGGAGGGTCTTGCTCTGGGAAATGGAAGCCCAGAGAGGGAAAGTCACTTGCGAGATGTGAGGTCACCCAGGCTGTCAGCCAGGGGGGAGAGACTCAGTCATGCAGAGCAGAACCGTGGCTGTGGGAGGGCGGTGTGTGGTCCTGTGGGCGTGCTCATCACAGGTATGCAGGAGGGACTGGAGTGGGCAGTGGGGGTGAGAAAGGGCCCAAGCGGGCCTCAGCCAGTGCACTGCCCTCCAGGTGCTCAGAACCACACGCTGCAGAGGCTGCACCAGGTGCTGTATGCCGGCCCCGGGCCCTGCCTCCCCCATCAGCTGAGCCGCCTCTGCCAGGGCCTGGGCCCCAGCGCCTTCCGACTGGCCGCCAGGATGTACCTGCAGAAAGGTGGGTGCTGAGGCCGGGGAGCTCCCTCCATCCTGCCCTGGGGTGGAGGAGGGCGAGAGACAGGGGCTGGGCCTCTGGCAGCAGGTAGGAGCATGGCTGGCCGTGGAGCCTGAGTCCCAGGGACAGCCTGTGCTCCCTGTGTGCAGGATTTCCCATCAAAGAAGAGTTCCTGGAACAATCAGAACGGATATTTGGTGCAAAGCCCGTGAGCCTGACGGGAAAGCAGGAGGATGACCTGGCAAACATCAACCAGTGGGTGAAGGAGGCCACGGAGGGGAAGATTCCGGAGTTCCTCTCCCAGCTGCCGGGAGACACGGTGTTGCTTCTCCTCAATGCCATCCACTTTCAGGGTGCGCTCCTCCTCCTCACACATCCCCCACCCGGCATCACCCACCCCGCAGGCCGAGCTGGGATGTGCAGACCTGTTTTTCTTTTTGAGACAAGTCTCACTCTTGTTCTCCAGGCCAGGAGTGCAATGGTGCGATCTCAGTTCACTGCAACCTCTGCCTCCCGGGTTCAAGCGATTCTCCTGCCTCAGCCTCCTAAGTAACTGAGATTACAGGCGCCCGCCACCATGCCCAGCTCATTTTTTTGTATTTTTAGTAGAGATGGGGATTCACCATGTTGGCCAGGATGGTCTCAAACTCCTGATCCAGGTGATCCACCCGCCTTGTCCTCCCAAAGTGCTGGGATTATGGGTGTGAGCCCCCGTGTCCGGCCCCCCTTTCTTTTGAGGCTGATCCTCGCTCTGTCACCCAAGCTGGAGTGCAGTGGCACAATCTCGGCTCACAGCAGCCTTCGCCTACTGGGTTCAAGCTATTCTCCTAAGTAGCTGGGATTACAGGCATGTGCCACCACACCTGGCTAATTTTTAGTAGAGACGGGGTTTCACCATGTTGGCCAGGCTGGTCTTGAACTCCTGACCTCAGGTGATCTGCCCACCTTAGCCTCCCAAAGTGCTGGGATTACAGGTGTGAGCCACAGCGCCCGGCCGTGCAGGCTTTGTTCTTAGGGTCCCCTTTCTCCTCTGTCTGGGCCATGAGGCAGGTTGTGTCTGGGTGTGGTGGGGGCGGGTGCCCAGGAGCCAGATGAGGTTGTCCTAGAGGGAGTACCTGGGAACAGATGGTCTGAAAAGACCCAGGGGAGATTCCTGGGGGCATTGCTCGGGTCGGGGGAAGCATGAGCCCAGATTTCAAAACCCCGCAGGAAAGAGACCTCAATCCACTGGATGTCACTGGCATTCCCTGGGATCTTGGCCTCCACCACTCTCCACCTCTTGAATGGGTGCTGGGTGGGATGGGCAAGGGGCTGGGCCCCATCTCCATGACCCTGCCTCTGCCTGGTTGCAGGTTTCTGGAGGAACAAGTTTGACCCAAGCCTCACCAAGAGAGGCTTCTTCCACCTGGACGAACAGTTCACGGTGCCCGTGGAGATGATGCACGCCCCCAAGTACCCGCTGCACTGGTTCTCGCTGGAGCAGCCTGAGATCCAGGTCACCCCCGGTTGTCCCAGCAGGCTGGGCCTGAGTGCTGGGAGGCGGGGAGGGGAGGGGACAGGCTGTGGAGCTCGTACAGGGCTGGGTGGTTGGTGCCTCACCTTCCTTGCTGCCACGTCCCAGGGGCAGGCAGTTCCAAAGGGTTCCACATCCCCCTCCTACACGGCAGGAGGACTGAGGCTCCAGGCTCTTCAAGGTTCATTAATTCAATGAAAATATAGGGGGCATTTGCTGTGTGCTAGACACTGTTGTAAGCACTAGAGTTTTTGTGGAGCATGAGGGAGGCCAGGCCTCTGCTCTTAGGAGGGAAGATCCACGGGGCAACAGCAAACGTCCATCAACACAGGAATTCCAGACGGTGGAAGCGCTATGGAGGGAAAGCTGAAAGAGAAGGTGATTTTGGCCCAGAGCGATGGCTCACGCCTGTAATCCCAGCACTTTGGGAGGCCGAGGCAGGTGGATCACAAGGTCAGGAATTCAAGACCAGCCTGGCCAAGATGCAAAACCTCGTCTCTACTAAAAATACAAAAATCAGCTGGGCGTGGTGGTGCGCACCTGTAATCCCAGCTACACGGGAGGCTAAGGGAGGTGAATCACTTGAACCCGGGCAGCAGAGGTTGCAGTGAGCCAAGATCGTGCCACTGTACTCTAGCCTGGGCGATAATGAGGTCAGGAGTTTGAGACCAGCCTGACCAACATGGTGAAACCCCGTCTCTACTAAAAATACAAAAATGAGCTGGGTGTGGTGGTGGGTGCCTGTAGTCCCAGCTACTCAGGAGGCTGTGGCAGGAGAAATGTTTGAACCCGGGAGGCAGAGGCTGCAGTGAGTCAAGATTGTGCCACTGCACTCCAGCCTGGCGACAGAGCGAGACTCCGTCTCAAAAAAAAAAAGCTGGCCTCGAACTCCTGACCTCAGGTGATCCACCCACCTCAGCCTCCCTAAGTGCTGGGATTGCAGGTGTGAGCCACCACAGCTCGCCTTATTTAGGTAGTTTAGAGTGGTCAGGGAGGATTCTTTGAGGAGGGGCACTGAACTGAGACTCAGGTGACCATTGTTGATGAGGGTTTATTCAAGGCCCTCACACAGTGTCCTCAGAAGGGAAGATCTGATTGGATTGGATCTCCTGCATCCTGCGTGGAACATTCTGATTGCATACACTTCTTTTTTTTTTTTTTTTTTTTTGAGACTGAGTCTCGCTCTATCCCCAGGCTGGAGTGCAGTGGCGTGATCTCGGTTCACTGCAAACTCTACCTCCCAGGTTCAAGCGATTCTCCTGCCTCAGCCTCCCGAGTAGCTGGGACTACAGTGCCACCATGCCCGGCTAATTTTTGTATTTTTTAAAGTATAGACCGGGTTTCACCATGTTGGCCAGGCTGGTCTCGAACTCCTGACCTCAAGTGATCTTGCGTTGGCCTCCCAAAGTGCTGGGATATTACAGGCCTGAGCCACTGCGCCCGGCTCTGATTGGATAAAGTTCTGTGCCGAGCTGTCTCAAGTGTCGCCTTCCTTCCCTCTAGCCTGACTGTGGTCCCCTTGGCCTGGGCATTGAGCCCTGGGCGGGACAGTTGTGGCTGAGATGGCAGTGTTTGTTAGCTTCACAAGGCAAGTGTGACGCAGAGCATGGCCACTTCTGCAGGGAGGAGCGGAAGCCACCCCGGCAGCCCTCCTGGGAGGGCCTGGGGGCGAGCGGGGCCTGGGCAGAGTGTCCTGGCTTCCCTCCAGCTCACTGTGGAAGGTCTGATTCACCACCTCACCCGCCCCTCTTTTCCCGCTTCCTTTCCCTCCACGCCGTGTCCTGAGCACCCTTCCTTCTGCTTCCTTTTCCCTCCACGCCGTGTCCTGATCACCCTTCCTTCTGCTTCCTTTTCCCTCCACGCCATGTCCTGATCACCCTTCCTCCCGCTTCCTTTCCCTCCACGCTGTGTCCTGATCACCCTTCCTTCTGCTTCCTTTTCCTCCACGCCGTGTCCTGTGCACTCTTCCTCATGCTCTGTCTCCTTTCCCTGACGCCTCCATCTTCGTCTTCCTCAGGCCCTCTGCAGGCAGGCCCAGACAGCCAGACCCCATGCTTATCCTCCTGTGGGTGGGGGTTGTGCACACAGGCACTCTGCCTGGAACCCAGGGAGTCACAGCTGTGGGACGCCCTCGAGCCCTGTGGTGCCTGCACAGCTTTCACTGCAGAATGCCTCCAAACAAAATCCTAATGGCCGGGCACGGTGGCTCACGTCTGTCATCCTAGCACTTTGGGAGGCTAAGGCGAGCAGATCACGAGGTCAGGAGTTTGAGACCAGCCTGGCCAACGTGGTGAAACCCCATCTGTACTAAAAATACAAAAATTGGCCAGGTGAGGTGGTGGGCGCCTGTAATCCCAGCTGCTCAGGAGGCTGAGGCAGGAGAATCTCTTGAACTCTGGAGGCAGAGGTTTCAGTGAGCCGAGGTCATGCCACTGCACTCCAGCCCACTGACAGAGCAAGACTCTGTCTCAAAAAGAGAGAGAAAAAAAGAAATCTTAAGCCAAATCACAATATATATACACAGCTGGCTGGGAGCAGGTAAAGAGAGAAACCCACATGTATTGAGCGCTCTCTATGAGATAGACACTGCTGGAAACTTTTTTTGTGTGTGTGAGACGGAGTTTCACTCTTGTTACCCAGGTTGGAGTGCAATGGCGCGATCTCGGCTCACCGCAACCTCCGC